ATTAAATAAAAGTAAGGAAGAGAACTTAATAACAGGAAAGATGGTAGAGAGAGAAAGAAAAAAAATAGTAAGAATGCCAAGATCGGTAGTTTGGCCAATAGAATGAAGTATGCTGTTGAAATAATACAAATTGTTGATAGATAAGTTGACGTAGTATAGTACCTTGATACTGTGAATTTCTGCTGAAGTGGCATTTGTTATCTTTGATTAAAAAGAAGTATAGCAAATTATTAGTATTATTTTTCTCATTGCCATATGTTATTTATCTGTTTATTATTTTTTCAAGGACTATGTTGGCTGTTTGACCATAGCAGAGCTACAGAATTACCTAAGAAACCTTTTGATTGCCCTGAGACGGGTGCATAGTTTTGGCATCATACATCGAGATGTCAAACCGGCCAACTTTCTCTACAACCGAAAACAACAGAGGTAAGTTTACTCTTTATTTTGTTAACGTATAGTATAAGAAATTAGGCACATGATACTACCACTGCTTGTACAGTGGTGTGCATGCAGGGTCACAAAGTTGTGCTAAAGAATAGTGATGGATGTATCTCCTGTGTCTACCAAGATAGAGATTCAGGTATTAATTCATCTACAGAGATTCAAATATTTATTTTTATAGATTTGTAAGATGACATGATTAGAAAGAAAGAAATTTAGAAGAAGAGAAAATTTAAAGATTTGCTGAGGTTGATTGATAGATGGTAGTCTTTAAGAATAGATGCTGTATTTTATCAGTAATTTCTAAAGCTTTTCTTAATGTTAAATGCAATCTTTTGGCTTAGGTACTCCTTGGTGGACTTTGGCTTAGCACAGGAAGTCAGCCAAATAAAGACATCAGCCATGCATGGCAACTTGGCACGAATAAACCGTGCAAGAATAGAGGCTGCGAACCAGATGCTCACACCACCCACAGTTGAGACACCACACCATCCCGCCAACAAGACAGTCAAGAGGAAATTGGTTGTCAGTCCTGGAGTGAGTTTTATTTGTTAGTTTATGTATTATCTTCTTTTATTTGTTAGTTTATGTATTATTTTATTGTGTTTATTTTATTCAGTTTTATTTATTCTGTTCTATTCTATTTATTATATGTATATGTTTTTTTCTGTTGTCAGTGTTGTTTTGAGTGGTTTTTATGTTATTAACAAAATGTAGCCCATTTAAGGTTAAAGAAACCCAGTTTGAGTTTTGAGTTTATAGTGATATTCTTTTCTTTAACCCATTCGCGCCGGGCGTCACGTATACGTGACGGGCCCACTGTGAGTTTACTTGTTTGATTGTTTACAAACATAGATGGCTCCACTTGCACTTGTACTGCCTGTCTTGTCTGTTTACCCTTTTCTTTAATTTACGAAATTATTTTGCGTTACCTTATTTTGCTGTTACTAATGTTTATAACATTATAGTAATTATAATGTTTATAATAAAAATAACAATCGATATTCATAGCACTAGTAAAAATACATTTTCCCGCCAAATGAAATCCGGTAAAGCAGAGCCATCTAGTGTAGAGAAATTTCATTAAAAAGTATAAAAAATGAGCGCAGCATTTTCCCCATTTTTTGTTCATTTTTACCCGGCGCAAATGGGTTAATTGCAAGCGTATTTTCTTTGATAACAAGTAATCTTTGTTTTATGGTGCCTATTTTTGTTGTTTCATTTTATTGTGATTTTCTTTTCATGGCTCTCATTTTTTACAATACAGAGGATTCAAAATAATTGTATTTTTGAGTTAAGTCTTTTTGTACTGGTGAATGAACCTCAGGATTTCAAATGTGTCTTGCACTCCCCCCCCCCCCTCTCCTCCTCTCCGCCTCTTTCTTAAAATTTGCCAACTGCTCCCTTCTACACAAGTTATTCTTTCAGCACTGTGATTGAACACATGGAAAACTGTATTAAGTTTATGACCCCCCACATTATTCCAATAAGCCTTATGACAATACAGCACAAGGTGAAAGATCTTTATGAATTAAATGAAAAAGAATGATATTAAAGAACTGACTCTAAAGTAGCTTCCCAAGCTTTTCTGCCATGTGGATGCTGCACTTGACATCATCGATGATGCAGATCCGAACAAGGAAAGTTGTTTGAGATGTTAGAGAATGTTTTTGCTGTAATGAAGAACTTTACAAGTAGGAAAAAAAAATAAGGAGCAAACAAACCATGTCGATTAGCTATTCTTGCAAAGGGGAAACAGAAAAGGGATCTTCTTCCCTTGGCCGTCCAACTTGGCATCTCTATGAGTTTTCAACTGTGTTCTCCTTCTCTGTCACACACCAAGCTTTTCTGTAATGCATTAATTAAGTGAGCTCAGAATATCTGTCCTTAATTATTGTAATTTACACGAGTCTATTATTTTTGAGAGTTATAGTGTACTTTCATCATTATCAAAGTCTTAACCCATTCGCCGCGGTTGGCAAGAATAGATGCCATACCCACTTTGATACACGTTTATTTATTGCATTTACACCTAGATGGCTCTACAAGTTCTTAATCACCAAATAGCCAGTTATCAAGAACTACCTATTTCACCTGTTTAGCCTTTTCCTTCACTTTCGGAAAGGGTTTTTTGTATCATCTTATTGTCAAAAATATTCTAATGACAATTCAATCATCATAACATCAGTAACAATAATAACAGCATCGAAAGCAATGATATTAATTTTCCCGCCAATTCAATGAATGGGAAAATCAGGGTCGGTAACTAGGGCCTACTGATAGACTCCTTGCCGGCTGAGTACATGTGGAGCCATCTGTAGGTAGCAAAATTCACCAAAACCAACAGGGGACAGAACAAAAATCCGTGGCGAATGGGTTAAGTTATCATTATTATGATATTAAACTTATCATTGAGACTGTGACATTTCTTCACAGGAACCAACAGAGGCTGAGAAAAGTGTCAAACGAGCAAGGCAGGGATCACCTCCATCAACATCTGTGTCGAGCATCCTCTCTACAACAACAAACAGAGTTAATACAGTGAGTCTTTTTTAATAATAGGATTACTACATATGATTTTTAGACAGAGAGTGATCATTTGATGATTAGTGTGTTATTAAAGTTCTGTTGTATATTAGAGTATGTGAGACTTAACACTAGTGCTATATATTGGATTTGGCAAACAAATTTTTTGACCTTGAGAAATGCTGATGGATATTGGATTTTCTGTATGTATAGGAGTTAACTTACTCATGTAGTGGCAACTTATTAATAATTTAGAGGGTTAAAGTTAAAGGTTTTTTAGAGATGACTGCAAAAAACCTATACATTTCCTTCTAATTATGATATCCAATACAAGAAAATGAATAATGTAAGCAGCCATGTTTTTTTTTCACTACTTGCAAATTATCAGTAACTCTATTGGTAAGATAAGGTTTCTGCATTCATTCTTTCTCACACATGGTTGACTCCAAATAACACAAGAATTCAAAAGTCTTATTAAAGTGATAGAAAGTAAATAATCCAATGAGTGTGGTTGAGTTCAAATGATATGTAGTACTTCTAGTCATAACTGGATGCATATTTTATGACTTGCAAAGGAAAAAGACATGTTAGATGTGACTGAAGTTTTTTAGTAAGAATGTTTAGGAGTATGCATTTACTCTACAAGTAACATCTGGCACTTGGTATTAGATGACTTAGTTGTGTTGAGCATCGACTAATTTACACTTGTATTGATAACCCTTCTCCATCTAGGCATTACGTCGTTCACCAAGAAAGCAGTGTTCCATTGCACCATCACCAAAGAAGGAAAATTTTGAGTTAATGGGGACACCAAGGAAGGTTACGATTCAGAGTTCAAATATACAACAGGTAAGGGTAATGTCCTTGGAAGAGCAAGCCGTTAGTATTGTATTTTGTTCAGTTACACACTCATTAGACCAGATGCTTATGATATGAATCTGATATCTTTTGCAAACAAACTATCCATTTATAATAGGCCTGTGTCATCTGATTTACCATATATATATATATATATATATATATATATATATATATATATATATATATATATATATATATATATATATATATATATATATATATATAATATTATATATATATGTAATATATAATATTATATATATATGTAATATATAATATTATATATATATATGTAATATATAATATTATATATATATATGTAATATATAATATTATATATATATATGTAATATATAATATTATATATATATATGTAATATATAATATTATATATATATATGTAATATATAATATTATATATATATGTAATATATAATATTATATATATATGTAATATATAATATATTATATATATATAATATACACCTTTTTTTTTTTTTTTTTTTTTTTTTTTTGAAACTGTCCTTGTTTTTAATAATATTTCTTTATTTATAGGACTCCCCAAGCAAACATACCAGAAATGCAGAAGCTATTCGTAGGTTAGAGTCACCAGACTTTAATGGTAAGCAGGAATTAAAATTATGTACAAAATAAGCATGAGATTACCATTGGTTCAACAGTCACTTGTGTCTGTGCTAAATATAATTGCTCTGATCAGTGGCTATATAACTTGTCTGGAATACTTGGTCCTCTAATCTGGTTAAATAACTTTAGACCTTACACATATACAAAGGTAAAAGGAAGGTTGTAGAATGAATTGATATACCTAATTCACAGCCAGTTAATATGTATGATGGATATAGTCTCTCTAGCAGTGTCTTCTGTTCTTCTCTTATTGGTTTCCTTATGTTAATGTTAATTTCAGGCTTTGAGGGTTCTGGCCAGTCTCATCAACTCCTGCGACAAGAGGGTGGTAGAGTTTTAAGACGCTCTCCTCGGAAACCGGCACCTGTGAACAACACATCCACTCAGCTTGAGGGCTTAGCTAAACATTTGCAGGAGGTTACATCTAGACAAGGTACAACAAGAAATTGCAGTAACAAAGTTTTCAGTGTGGTCTTCCATTTTGATATGAATTTCTTTGTTTTGAAATAGTATCATAACAGGGTGGGGGGATTTGTGAGATACATGCCACCCTTAGAATTGATATGAGGAAAACCAGTGATATTAATTATGAATTTGAAAATTGCTGTTGTATATGGTTCTACTTCATCATCATCAGAGTCATGGGTTATCATTAATATGATATTAACCCATTGCCGACGGGGAAAATGAACAAAAAATGGGGGAAATGCAGTACTCATTTTTTATATTTTTGTGAAATATCTCTGTCCATAGATGGCTCTGCTAGTCCTGATTTCACCTTTCCTTGAATTGGCGGGAAAAAACGTATTCTTACTAGTGCTATAAATATAAATGGTGTTATTTTTAACAGCAAATTAGGATAACGTTAAATACTTTCGTAAATCGATGAAAAGGGTGAACGGGCGAGACAGGCAGTACTGTAATTGGCTCATTGGATACTTAGTACAAGTGTAGCCATCTATGTTTATAAACAATCAAACAAGTCGACTCACAGTAGGCATGGCATGTACGTACATGCCATCCCCGGCGGCAATGGGTTAAACTTGATTCCATCATTGAGACTGTTACATTTCTACACAGGAACCAACAGAGGCTGAGAAGTGTCAAACAACTGAGATGAGTTATTGGTTAAATAATGGAATTATCTTTTCTTTCATTGCTACTTTGGCTTTCACACAAACTGTTCATCACTGCAACTGCGTGACTCAGCTGCTGTTTGTTTTTATTTCATAAGGGAGCAATATATAGTGTGCCCAATTCAGAAAGGGCTGTCCCTTCATGTGATGTACAGTCTTCTCTACTTACATTGTTAGTATATGAACTTCCAGTTTTGACTCTTTGTATTGGAAACAGATAATTCCAGCTCTTGCTGATATGTTTCCAATACAAGGTACTTGGAAGAGGATGTGATTGTTTGTCACAGCTCAGGTCCCCCTATATTATTTGGTTAATGGGTTGATGGGAAATAAAAATAATTTCAGTGAAAGAGTTATCTGTGTGAATGTGTGTATACATGTTGTTGTTGTTGTTGTTGTTGTTGTTGTTGTTGTTGTTGTTGTTGTTGTTGTTGTTGTTGTTGTTGTTGTTGTTGTTGTTGTTGTTGTTGTTGTTGTTGTTGTTGTTGTTGTTGTTGTTGTTGTTGTTGTTGTTGTTGTTGTTGTTGTTGTTGTTGTTGTTGTTGTTGTTGTTGTTGTTGTTGTTGTTGTTGTTGTTGTTGTTGTTGTTGTTGTTGTTGTTGTTGTTGTTGTTGTTGTTGTTGTTGTTGTTGTTGTTGTTGTTGTTGTTGTTGTTGTTGTTGTTGTTGTTGTTGTTGTTGTTGTTGTTGTTGTTGTTGTTGTTGTTGTTGTTGTTGTTGTTGTTGTTGTTGTTGTTGTTGTTGTTGTTGTTGTTGTTGTTGTTGTTGTTGTTGTTGTTGTTGTTGTTGTTGTTGTTGTTGTTGTTGTTGTTGTTGTTGTTGTTGTTGTTGTTGTTGTTGTTGTTGTTGTTGTTGTTGTTGTTGTTGTTGTTGTTGTTGTTGTTGTTGTTGTTGTTGTTGTTGTTGTTGTTGTTGTTGTTGTTGTTGTTGTTGTTGTTGTTGTTGTTGTTGTTGTTGTTGTTGTTGTTGTTGTTGTTGTTGTTGTTGTTGTTGTTGTTGTTGTTGTTGTTGTTGTTGTTGTTGTTGTTGTTGTTGTTGTTGTTGTTGTTGTTGTTGTTGTTGTTGTTGTTGTTGTTGTTGTTGTTGTTGTTGTTGTTGTTGTTGTTGTTGTTGTTGTTGTTGTTGTTGTTGTTGTTGTTGTTGTTGTTGTTGTTGTTGTTGTTGTTGTTGTTGTTGTTGTTGTTGTTGTTGTTGTTGTTGTTGTTGTTGTTGTTGTTGTTGTTGTTGTTGTTGTTGTTGTTGTTGTTGTTGTTGTTGTTGTTGTTGTTGTTGTTGTTGTTGTTGTTGTTGTTGTTGTTGTTGTTGTTGTTGTTGTTGTTGTTGTTGTTGTTGTTGTTGTTGTTGTTGTTGTTGTTGTTGTTGTTGTTGTTGTTGTTGTTGTTGTTGTTGTTGTTGTTGTTGTTGTTGTTGTTGTTGTTGTTGTTGTTGTTGTTGTTGTTGTTGTTGTTGTTGTTGTTGTTGTTGTTGTTGTTGTTGTTGTTGTTGTTGTTGTTGTTGTTGTTGTTGTTGTTGTTGTTGTTGTTGTTGTTGTTGTTGTTGTTGTTGTTGTTGTTGTTGTTGTTGTTGTTGTTGTTGTTGTTGTTGTTGTTGTTGTTGTTGTTGTTGTTGTTGTTGTTGTTGTTGTTGTTGTTGTTGTTGTTGTTGTTGTTGTTGTTGTTGTTGTTGTTGTTGTTGTTGTTGTTGTTGTTGTTGTTGTTGTTGTTGTTGTTGTTGTTGTTGTTGTTGTTGTTGTTGTTGTTGTTGTTGTTGTTGTTGTTGTTGTTGTTGTTGTTGTTGTTGTTGTTGTTGTTGTTGTTGTTGTTGTTGTTGTTGTTGTTGTTGTTGTTGTTGTTGTTGTTGTTGTTGTTGTTGTTGTTGTTGTTGTTGTTGTTGTTGTTGTTGTTGTTGTTGTTGTTGTTGATGTTATTATTGTTGTTATTTTGTTGTTGTTCTTGTTTTTGTTGTTGTTGTTGTTGTTGTTATTATTATCATTGACAATAGGATTATTATAACAATGAATAAAGTCTTTCTGAAATAAAAGGAAAAGGAAAAAGATGAAAAAGTTTGGACTAGTAATTACTTTTTGAGCCATCTCTTATAAAGTAAGATTACAGTAGACATGGCATGTACATCAAACCATTTGTGATTAATGCATCAATCCATAATGTGAAATGTAACTCCCAAATTTCTTCTGCTATAGGTACAAACCCGAAAAGGAGCAATGTTGCAGCCAGTGAGTTGTAAGTGTTATGGTCATCCCCGAGTCTGTAGTGTGTGTGTTACAAGAACAAATCAGGTGGCCCCAAGAGCTGGCACCCCTGGATTTAGGGCTCCTGAAGTGCTTCTGCGTCACCCTGATCAAGGAACTGGTAAGAAATCAAGAGTTGGTTAATAATAACTTATATCTCCAAGCATTACCTGATAGGTATTATGAATCGTGAAATATATAAATGTTTCTTGATTATCCTTTACAATAAAGCATCCTATGATGAAGATGTATGTGTCTTGTTGGAAAACCTTCTATTTATCTTCATTATGAATATCATCCATCTTTTTCCCCCAAAAGCTGTCGATATGTGGTCAGTTGGTGTTATCCTGTTGTGCCTTCTAAGTGGACGTTACCCTTTCTTCCGTGCTGTTGATGACCTCTCCACCTTAGCTGAAATAGCAACATTACTTGGAACACAAGTGATGAAGAAGACAGCAGCACATTTGGGTAAGTGATATTTGAAACTTTAGGAAAGTGGCTGTTACAAATTGAATGTGACCAGAACAACCCAAGGGAGCCATTAACAAGCCTCTTGAATATCCTTATTTTTTTTGTGTCCTTGACTAGATCTATCCTCTTCTAACTTAATCTTAACCTTTTAACATCAGTAGGTCATGTATGTACATGATTTAAATTTAGTAATGCTCTATGGTTCTAGAATTGCTTTATAGCCAAAGAGTAGGCTAGGCTTGCCTGATCTCTGCTGTTACCTTGATTTTCAGAAAGGTTATTGTTATTGTTATCATAATGGCATTAATTCCTACTGTTGGGTTCATGTCATGGATGATTTGCTTGTAGCTCTGGATGATGCGTTATTTGTGTCATGGCCAACATGAATGTGGCTTTAGGCGAACTGTCATACATATCATGTAAAACATGATGCTCTTGCTGTTGATGTAAACCTGTGAGTAACCTTCACTCTAGTATACGAAATCAGTCTCCTCATGTCAATTACACATCTTGCCTGTTAGTGTGACTGTCTTTAAGTATGAAAGAAATAAAGGCAGTACTGAACCTGTAGGGGCAGCAGCCTTGTATATCACAGCATACAGTCTCATATTTTGTAAGAATAAGACCTGTGAAAATGAGTAATTAGAAAAACATATATTCTTCAGTAAAACCACATTCACTCTTGTACACAGATTATAATATAAGCTCTTAATTAAAATGGAATCTAATGTACATAATTAGGCTACTACTGGTTTGGTGTAGCAACTGAAAAGCATAGTTAGTAATGATAATATTGACAGTAATAATAATAGTATTAGAAATATTAGATAGATAAAAAGTTTCCCCAAAAGTCAAGGAATGGGATAATCATGTGAGGTCAGGTAGGCTTATTAATTGACTCCTTGATGACTAAGCCTTTGTGGAGCCAGTGATGCATGTATTCAGCACCAGTGCATTAAGTATTTTGGCAGGCTTGATTTAGCTGTAGAGATAAAAGAAAAAAATATTTCTAGATACATGAATTCCTAAAGGTCATTTCCATAGAAGCTGGGAAAGTATATGATAATCTTGATATTTTCCGTCTTTATAACTACTATTTTCTGTTATCACAGTTACAACTGGCACCAGTATTATTAATTATTTGTATTGACAGTAATACATTTGTAACAATTATTATAATTTTCATACATTTTCAGGAAAACTGTTTACTTGCTCAGAAACCAGAAATCCACTTGATTTGATGAAAGTTTGTGAGATTCTTCGTAGCAACTCTAGGAGAAGCAACATCAACATAGACAAAGAGACCCTGCCACAGCCATGTCCAAGCTGCTACCAGCAAGAAATGTGTGTGTGTCTCATCCCCCCCACCAAGGCCACTACCTCACAGAATGCATCTGGGCAATCCGGCAAGAAGAGATCACAGGCTCAGGAACGACATCAGCCTCCCAAGACACCTGGGGCACATCGGAAGGGAAATACATTGGGTGGCGTCTCGTCAACCTCAAGGACAGAACCTGAGGCTGCAGGCACTAGTAAAAAAGCACAGGAGCAGGTGCAGGCACAGCCCCAAGGACCAACAACTACCACACCAAAGGAGGAGGACCAGACCAGAGCAGCAGCCTCAGACAGTAGCTGTATCGTTGTCACCCCATCTTCCTCTTGCAAGAAGATGCAGCCTGAGCCAGAGCTGCCAAGAGACTCCCTGGAGGTGATTGAGGTTAAGATTAAAGAAGACAGACACTGCAATGCTGTTGCCGCAGCATACCCACCACTTGTTTACCACCTGTTGATTAGGCTCCTAGATCCCAATCCAGATACTCGCATTACTGCTCAAGAAGCCTTAGATCATCCCTTTTTAAAATGTCCTTTAGGTTAGCTCTCTAGGTGCATGTGTATGGTACATTACTGCGTTTGTGGTATTTTTATACGGTTTTGATTAAGGGTTAGAGTTCATTAGCTAAGGCAATGTTGAAGTTGTGTTAGAATATTTGAGATTGATATATTTATTATGATATTTACAATGGGGATAATGTGGCTGAAAATCAAGCATAAGCAAGTGGACTTGGCTGTCTCATTGTATATTATTTTTGTACAAGAACCGTGTATCGACCATTGGATTATACATTTTGTTATACTATTCATCTTTTTATCTTTTTTTTTTATTACTTTACAGTACAATTAATATTAGTGTAAAACATATTCGTGTTCATATGATAACAGTACTTTGGAAGGAGTTGGATTGAGTAAAAAAAATAAATAAATAAATGCCAAAAAGAACAAAGTAATGATACTTTAATATAATTTACTCAAAAGCAAAATGAAGAAGTGCATATGTCCAGAAAATTTTGAATTTTCTATGTTTATGAAAAGGTAATGGAAATTTGCAGAGATGATAAATTTTATTTTTTATGTGTTTATTGTCTACTATAAATATATTGTTAAAGATCTTGCCATGAATATTAAAATTGTTAGATGCTGAGCTGCCAAAGAGGATTGAGAATGATTACAGATACTTAATTATTCAATCATGGTTAATGTGATTAACAGTAACAGTAACAAAGCAGCTGAATTACACTGTTTATGAAAGGGCCTTTTTAATAGTAATTTTTTGCTTTAGGAAGTTACAGTCCTCAGGGAGGTGAAGGAAGGAAGAACCGTTGAAATATCATTTTCCTGTCTTTTGTGTTTATTTTGTGTGTATATTGCCCTCCTCAGTTTCTGTCTTTCCCATTACGAGACATTCACAGTCAGACTTGAGCTCGTACTCTCAGACCCCTGCTCAAAGTGACATTCAAAGTTACATTCAAACTGAAATAGCCATTCATTGGGGTGACATGAACTAAATATAATTCACAGATTAAATCTTACCTCACACTTGTCTTGAAATGTGAATCCACTATCTGTTGCATATGCATATAACTATACAGGCATGTAAGTTAGAGATGTGTATAAGCAGTTTAGCCAAAGTTCAATATTTTAATTGCCATGTACAAGATGCATTATGATTTCAATTGTGTGGTAGAATTTGGTATTGAATAATAGTGTTGGATTGCTAGATATGTAATGATGCTATCATAGGATTTTCAAACCTTTTTTAGCATTTTATTGCCTATGAGTAGCATTTATATAAGAAATAACTGCAGATGGTAATTTTCCTGATATCATAGTGTTAATGACCTACTGCTGGACTTCATCATAATACCATTACTGTTCCTAATATCTCGAAGCTTTTATTGTTTTCAGTATCTGGCGAGCTTTCGAAATTATATACTTCTATTTTTACACCTACTGTAAACCAACTTAGATGTTTTCAAATACTAATAGCCCAGTTTATGTGATGGCTAATGAGTTTAGAAATGGAGATCAAATGTGATAGATAAAACTGAACAGAAAGCCTTGGCTGTGATAAACTTGATAATTAATAACTATCAGACATAGAAATAATCTAAAAATGTAAAGTGCAGTGAATAAAGATCTCGTTTCTTTGCATCTTGTATTTTCATAGCGTGAATGATAGAAATACTTCATACTGGTTAGAAGTATGACCATGTACGGAATGGACTGCTATTACCGTTGTTACACTGTTACATCATTGTCTACTCTATAGCATTGCTTGGCTGTTAACTGTGTATATTATAGTTGCTAATATGTGTGTCTTCTGTGGAGATAAGGAATCCATGAATGAACTGTGTATTAAAAAGGAGAATCCAATATAAAGAGGTATTGAAACAAGTTCCTGATTGCTCAACTTTTTCATGGTATTTAAATGTCGACTTTCGTCTTCCGTTCGTATGTTTATGTACATTTCTCAAGATACCAAAATTTCCGTGATCATTGTTCATTTCTGGTTAAGAGTCTGAATTTGATGGTAGTCTGAGATGTAGGAGTTTATTGGGATATCGTTTATACTTGACTGGTTTACCTTTGTGCTCCACTTTTAATTTGAATTTTTCCCTTTTTTTTTTGCGTGTGTGTGTGTGCACTTTTTATTAAGAACATTGCATCTTAGAAATAAGTTTTGGATGTCAGAGAAAACACCTTGAAAGATTTCTTGGTCCTCATTTTCCTTCATGTTCACATCCACTTCTTCCTCCTCTTTCTCTCTCCCCCCCCCCACCTCTACTTCCTCTTCCTCCTCCTTATTCCTCCTCTTCTTATTATTTCTCCTCCTCCTCTTCTTCTTATTTCTCCTCCACCTCCTCTTCCTCTTATTATTCCTCCTCCTCCTCCTCCTCCTATTTTTCCTACTCCTCATCCTCCACCTCCTCCTCCACCTCCTCCTCTTATTTTCCTCCTCCTCCTCCTCCTATTTCTCCTCTTCCTCTTTTTTTTCTCCTTTTTGTCCTCCTCTTCTTCCTCCTCCTCTTCTTCCTCCTCCTCCTCTTCTTCCTCCTCCTCCTCTTCTTCTTCCTCCTCCTCCTCTTCTTCCTCCTCCTCCTCCTCTTCCTCCTCCTCTTCTTCCTCCCCTTCTTCTTCCTAGTCTTCTTCTTCTTCCTAGTCTTCTTCTTCTTCCTAGTCTTCTTCTTCTTCCTAGTTTTCTTCTTCTTCCTAGTCTTCTTCTTCTTCCTAGTCTTCTTCTTCTTCCTAGTCTTCTTCTTCTTCTTAGTCTTCTTCTTCTTCCTAGTCTTCTTCTTCTTCCTAGTCTTCTTCTTCTTCCTAGTCTTCTTCTTCTTCCTAGTCTTCTTCTTCTTCCTAGTCTTCTTCTTCTTCCTAGTCTTCTTCTTCTTCCTAGTCTTCTTCTTCTTCCTAGTCTTCTTCTTCTTCCTAGTCTTCTTCTTCTTCCTAGTCTTCTTCTTCCTAGTCTTCTTCTTCCTAGTCTTCTTCTTCTTCCTAGTCTTCTTCTTCTTCCTAGTCTTCTTCTTCTTCCTAGTCTTCTTCTTCTTCCTAGTCTTCTTCTTCTTCCTAGTCTTCTTCTTCTGCCTAGTCTTCTTCTTCTTATTATTATTATTATTATTATTATTATTTATTTATTTTTTTTACCATCTTCTCCTCTTCCTCTCTCCTCTTTCTTTCTCCTCTTTACCACCACGACCTCCTTTTTCTCTTCTTCCTTCTCCTCCTCCTCCTTTATATATAACCCTTCTCTTTTTTCTGTTCTTTTTCCTCCTCATCATTCTTTTCTTTCTCCTTCTCATTTGCTTCCTCCCCCTCAGGTCAGCTTTATTTCAGTGTTATTGGGTACCTTTATTTATTTTTTTTTATTAGTAATAAACACACATGAGAAAAAGAACTACTGATGAGTTGCAGGCTGAGGTTCTTTAGGGTGATTTTTGTCATGGCCACATGTGTAAATCTAATGGTATTTTCATAGTGGACGATATTATGCTTGGATGAATCGTGTCCAGGTCTTCACAATGTAGTTATCATTTATTGTTTTAGATCATTACATATTAAGCTATCATCATTACTTTTACAATTATAATAGTACAAACATTTATTTATACAATATTGGGGGATTTACTAAATACAGATGTGACAGTTGCTCATTAGACAGTGAATCATTAATCCATTTAATGGATTATTGAAGGAAGTATGGCATGTTGACTGATATATTGGGTATGCCTTTTGGAAGTTTTAAGATCATCTGATATTGTTTGTTATAAGCAAAATGTGTTCTATGATAATATTTTACTTTCAAAATTAATATATTGACTAAAACTTTCAGTGTCTGATTTTTTAGTTCATGTAATAATGGAACTATTCAGTACGTCACAACTTCTAGTAAATTTTCAGGTGATGAAATCACCCTGTGTTCCCTCAGTTTTGAAAGGGAAATAAAGAGGTTTGCATTTATATGTTTTTTTAATTATCCTAAAACAGCAGTGTTTGTAAAATATTTCAGTGAGGTTTGCTTGTTAAGATAGAATTCAGTGTAAGTTTGTATGATTTAATCATGATTATTCAGGATAGAATAGACTAGAGTTGCATTCTTGTATGGTATTACAGGAGAAATAATCCAATAAGGCAAATGGATTATATATGGAAGACAAATATAGAAAGGTACTGAATGCATTGATATATTTTGGGATGTCAGAGGACAATATTTTTTACCTGGAATAAGAAGCATAGATGCTAGACCCAGAATTTCCAAAGCAAAGGGACTGGTGATCCCTTGCTAAGATTAGGTATAAACTGTTTCCCCTAATACTCTACTCCAAAAAAAATAGTCATGAATTAGACCATACCTAAAACTTGCAACTAGTCATCATGTTAGCTGCATTTGTAAGACACTGAATTATTGAAATGCATTTGAACGTGAAACCTCCATGTTTTTTTTCTATACTATAAAGTGTCGTGGTATTAAATGAATTATGAACTAAATAACTAATGCAATGTTCATGTAAAGTCAAGTAATAAAAGAAAGGCACTTGTTTGTTTTTATTATAAAAAGACAACCCATTGTAGTGATAAGTTGGGATCACATCAAGGGCCAAGCACAAGCCCTAATTACTTCATAAACCAACTATATATAATATTTGGTAATTAAAAATAACAGTACTGTTAACATTTTCATTAAACTTAATAATGAGGCAGGCTTTAGTGAAAGGCAGTTACATATAACTTAATAAACATCACCTATTTGTTTAACTATATGGAGAACTTTAAAAGATTATAAGTACAATGTACAGCATGTATGAAATATGACTAATCTTTGGAAAGAGCATGACATCTTTTTACAGGTTACTGACAGGGACTAAATGCTCCTGTAAGAAAGACAAATGATGATGATAAAAGTGATGATTGTATGATTTGGTTAAGTCATAATTTCATATGCATGTGACAAATAATACAATAAACTCTAGCTAAGTCTGGTCTATAGCTCCAAAGGAGTCCCAGAAGTGTGACTTTGGTTATCAGTATTAAACAATAAAATCAGGGGAGGTCCATTATTACAATGTAGTCATGATGCTTTTTATTGTATATGATTTTTATGTGCTAAAAAAAATGCTGATTTACTAGTCAGTATACAAAAAATACAAGATAGATATTATTTTCTTACAAAAAGTTCCTATAGGACAGAGAAATAAGAAAAATCAATAAAAAATTGGCTAAACCCTGTATCAACATTTTAATGAGTGTGTGATTATTCATGTTTATATCTTATGAGTTAGCATTCTGACCCAGATACAGTGGAGACTGTATCTTTACTTGGACACATTTTGTACATTGGAAGTGGACAGAGAATCAGATGTTCTTCATTTTATGAATAAATTACGGTAGCAAAACTACAGAGCAGGGTGTATACAGTGGAAGCTATCTCACATCTAAATTTCCCCAATTATTCACTTTAACAAAAAAAAAAAATAATAATAATAATAACTCAAAATTTTGAATATCTAGATGTGCCAGTCCCCAACTCAAGCTTGTGTTCCTCTCGGACCACTTTAAAACATATGGCAGATATACGACTGGCGGTGAGTGCAGCGCTGCTTGAGGAGGCCTATGCTAGCCACGCCTGCACAGCGTTGGTGGTTGCTCAGACTGTTCTCTTGGTCGGCCCCCCAGTGAGAAGGCAGCACAGGTTGGGCTGTCATGAGGAAGGCCCAGTCATCTTTGTTGAAGGCATCTGTGGCGCTGGTCCAGTAAGTAGTACCTGTTTTAATAAATAAATTAATTTATTTATATATTAATGCTTATCGTATTGCTATTTTTTTCTTCCAGTGTATGGATATATTTGTGGTTGTGAGGTAATGAATGTTTTCTGGAAAATATTTATTTTGAAGGAATGGCCACTATGCATTCATCTACAAGAAAGGCCCCATTCTTCGGCCCCCTTCTTGCGCTCATCACCCACCGTCGGCGAGGCGGGCCATGAGCAGGTCGTGCTGGGTGCCGGGCGGGTTGAGCGTCAGCAGGTGGCCTCCGCGACGCACGCACGACGCCACGGCCTCCGGGAAGGTGAGCTCCTCGATACCGAACCAGTAGCATCCGAGGCCGATCCTCTCCCAGTCGCCGCCGCACTCACCTGCCACATTTCCACCAGTGGAAATAATATGACGATAATTTTTTAGAGTATATTGCACACCTCCCATTGCCGTTGGTGGATGGGTTAAGCTTAAAGAGAATTTTGAGATTGTTCCTTTAACAGAGCCTAATTGTTGTGCTTAGTATTTTGAAGACAATGAACGATGACTCTGATCATTGGTGATAGCATGCAATATCCAGATTAATTCAGTTTAGAAGCCAGTCTTTAATTTATTCTTGTTCCCAAAACGTCGTCCACACTTCTCTTCGTCTTTACTCAATCGTCGTGCTAAAAAACACGATATGCAACAATTTCAAAACGAATATTACCGATGTGTGGCATATTACCCATACCGCTTACTTAACCCATTGCCGCCGGGGAAAATGAACAAAAAATGGGGGAAATGCAGTACTCATTTTTTATATTTTTGTGATATATCTCTGTCCATAGATGGCGCTGCTAGTCCTGATTTCACCTTTCCTTGAATTGGCGGGAAAAAACGTATTTTTACTAGTGCTATAAATATAAATGGTGTTATTTTTAACAGCAAATTAGGATAACGTTAAATATTTTCGTAAATCGATGAAAAGGGTGAACGGACGAGACAGGCAGTACTCGTAATTGGCTCATTGGATACTTAGTACAAGTGTAGCCCTCTATGTGTAAAAACAATCGAACAAGTCGACTCACAGTGGGCATGGCATGTACGTACATGCCATCCCCGGCGGCAATGGGTTAACTTCAATTTTCCTCTGTATAACATTATGGAAAAAAAACTAATGAATTCGTCTCGAGTAGCCCTAAGTTACCTGTGTGTGTCGCCGGGTACACCGTTAAGGTGGGCGGGCGGGCAGCAGCAGCGATGGGCGGGCCAAGCAGATCCGGGAAGTGAGAAACCACCGACCGTTTCTCCAAAGTGCGGGTGGTATTCTCCACATTTCCGAGGCGGATGAGGGCGTCGGTGAGGCGGTTTTCCAAGCGGTCTATGATCTCCCTGGCAGCCGATAACTGTGCTTCCAGAGTGTTTTCCGCCTTCTTTTCCTGCTGCAGTCGCTCGACGCGCCGCCGTAGGAAGTCCACCTGAGCGGAAGAAAGCGTGAAGACAACACAGGTACACACCACAAGTATAACATAGTTTGGAAAGTATTTAAGCAATACTAATATGGCCTTGCATTAGGTGGAACTGAATATTTCTTTTCATCGGAACTGATAAGATTTTATGGGTATGAAACTAGTAAATTACTTAAAGATAAAAATAATATAGAAATAATAAAGATATATCGTATACCAAGGGGTATCCACACTCGAAGTGTCATTTAACTCCAACATAAGTAAAATGCCATTCCAGTCATCATTGTTTAAGCCCTCTAAGACCGCATTCATGGGAGCAAAACCATTTTCTCTCTATGAACAGGATCTTTCATACGGGCGCACGAGACAAAAATAACGCGGTGTTAAATGCTGAATGAATGCTTGTGCCTCCAAGCGACGGCGCGGAAAACCACTCCCAGCTGTTGTGATTAATGAACAACAGTCGCGATCATTTTCGCGGCGATAATTTCGATGAAGAGAGAGAGAGAGAGAGAGAGAGAGAGAGAGAGAGAGAGAGAGAGAGAGAGAGAGAGAGAGAGAGAGAGAGAGAGAGAGAGAGAGAGAGAGAGAGAGAGAGAGAGAGAGAGAGAGAGAGAGAGAGAGAGTGAGTGAGTGAGTGCATGAGTGAATGAGTGAGTGAGTGAGTGAGTGAGTGAGTGAGTGAGTGAGTGAGTGAGTGAGCCACTACTGAGTGGGAGAAGAGAGAAGAGTGGAGAGAGAGAAAGAGAAAAGGGGAAAAATGATAAAAAGAAGGAAAATTTCGAAAAAATTAAAAAGAAAAGAAAAAAAAAGAGAAGAAAGAAGAAAGAAAAGAGAAAAAAGTATAGAGAAAGAGAAATGTAAAAAAAATAGATAAAAAGAAAGAACATTTCGGAAAAAATGAAAAACAAAAAAAAAGAAAAGAAAAAAGGAAAATAGAGAAGAAAGAAGAGAAAACAGAGAAGAGAGAAGAGAGGGAGGTGGCAGAGAGACTGGGGTGCATAACTGATATATTATTATAAAACACACAGAAGGAATCCTGTTTTGTATCTCCCCTCCTACTGTACAAACAGACGAGGCGTAAGGATGCGCGAGCTTTCAATTTTTGATCATCTTTTTAGCATGCCAAGTACGTCTTTCTAAAGCCATGTACAGATAATCACAACAAACTCAATATCGCACGCAACATTTATAGACAAGAAAAATAAATAAATAAATAAAAATACATCACGAAACCAAACTCACGTTGAAGGCGTGTTTGTTAAGTTTCGCCTCAATTTTCTTAGAAGATGAAGAGAGTTTCTGCACATTTTCACTGATGCCTTCTAAGTCGTTGTCGTGGCGGCCCAGCTTGTAAAAGACGTTGTTCAGCTTCAGTTCGTCCTCCTGAAATATAAGAACGCTATCAGGAGGTTTTTTCTCTCAATATGAAAAGAGGATGAGTCAGGATATGCGGCTGGAGTTGGTAGAAGATAATTTAATTTGATATTGCAGACAATACCACAGATGTTCAAATTCATACATCCGTCAATTTACTGAATTGATTCGTCACTACGATGAGCTATTCTTAATAATACATATATCTAGTTTTAGAAAGTCGTAAGTCTTTGTAGAATCTTCAGTTTTAGCAGTACAGCATTATCAGTAGACAAAGGCAAATGCGAAAACTGTAAATAAGGGACAATGCAACCAGTATTTTGATCGCATGTTAGTTTAAACCTAGCTGAAGTAACTAAACAGTCTAATCCCTGTCACCACACGAACCTCTACGTGTACACATCCATCCACGTGCACCTCGAGAAACGCACATACCTTGAGAGCTCTCGTCACGTCGTTGAGCTTGACCATGAGGCCGTCGTGTCCTCGGCGCAGATCCTCCATCATGGAATTGCCTCCGCCGCTGCTCCTGTCGATGCAACCAGACTCGCAAAAGGTTATCAATTTAAAGTATATTTCATCTTATTAGTCTATTGGTTTAGTAATGGTTAGTAGTGGCTGGATTTGCTAATATTTTCTGGCTTCCGATTTCTAGTGAAAATAGTCGCCTCTATTTAAAGATATCTATAAAGGGTTATAAATAGGTAATTAGCTTTAATAATATCAGGTTATAAATATTAAATAGCTTCAATAATATAATGTTACAAATGATATAATGCTATAAATATTTTATTAACTTAAATCATTAATGTTTCAATAATATTTGTAATGAACATGCATCCTTTGAGCGAGGTTAGACGTGATTCATCAGATCCGATTAACGTCTGTTCCAGATGCTATTACAGTTTTCTGAGAAGTAACTGGATGTCCAGTCCCCGTCATTTACATTAATATGTCGTAAATATTAATCTTTAAAAACACCACGCAAATATAATTATGGAGCCATTTTGACTAAAAAAAATGTGTCTGTGCATCTATGTATGTGTGTGGAAAAATAAATAAAAAAATTGCATCTTTGTCTCCTGGACTATTTTCGCGGCACTCACCCGCCCGTCAAATAGTAATCAGTGCCCACAAAGTCGATGGGTTCGAGGCGCTGAACAAAAGCAGATCGCGGTCCCGTCGTCGCGTCGCTCAGGGCCGCCCACACCAGTATCAATACACACGGCCACATGGTGATAACAGTGCAGTCTGGGGAAGAAAATAAATAGAAAGATTATGTAACCTGGATTGTGGTAGTTTTTTTTATAAAAGGTCCTGTGGCAAAAATAAAGAGGAGGGAAAATGGAAAAGAAGAAGAAGAAGAAGAAGAAGAAGAGAGAGAGAGAGAGAGAGAGAGAGAGAGAGAGAGAGAGAGAGAGAGAGAGAGAGGGGGGGGGGGGAGGGAGGGAGGAGAGAGAGAGGGAGGGAGAGAGAGAGAGAGAGAGAGAGAGAGAGAGAAAGAGAGAGAGAGAGAGAGAGTCTATATGTCATCAACCGATGAATGAAATGAAAAAAATGACATTTAGTGTATTTCATATATGATTTGTTAGGTACTTTGATTATTCATAGAACGTTTTCTATATGTAAACTTGAATTATGTTAATTTTCTTATTTAGGGTATAATTTATCCATTTAAAAATTATGCCCAGTTTATACAACGGTTAAGTTATTATTGATTATTATTATCAGTTCTTTTGAAAATATGAGATATTATTTTCAGTAATTGTAACAATGGGGTTCTCATTTTCTTTTCTAAACGCTGTTAGATATTAATAGACGCAATTTTTTTAAAAAGGAAATTTCCATAACTTTCACTATGAGCCGGATTTTGTCGTCTGGTTTTCAACTCCTGTCCCGGATGCTGATATTGAAGGTCAAAATGGCTCAACCGCATCCTTTCAGAAGCGGGATCCGAAGACAGCCTTTGCGTTTCATACTCGTCTTCTAAAATATCATATCATTTCCGTATTTTGCATATTCCTGTGGTGACTACCTAATTTCTTTTTTACTAGCATGATTATGAACATCAAGAACTACATCATTTTCAACAACGATCTTCGCTGGGTATAAATAGAAATGATCATGAACATCACTCCAATCAGACAGAAGCAACTGCCGAAGAAAACAGTACAGGGAGAAAGTAAATAACTATATTATTTTACGCTGCCACACGCTGCATTAATTCTACCAACGTGACACTGACGGAATCGTTGTCTGGCTGGCGAGGACGAGGTGCAAAGCGGCCCTTATGATTACGGTCCCTTATTTGGTGGGGCTGGAGACATGGCAGAGCACCAAGGTTGTCATGCATAGTGTCAGCGTTGTCTCTATCCGCTATAATGGCGGCCTAGGTTTCCAAATTAATATTGGTATTCCTATCAGTTTGATTACTTATGATTTTACTTGTTCGTTTCATGATTTCGCTTGTTTTTTCATGATTTTGCCTGTTTCGTGATTTTGCTTGTTCGTTTCATGTTTTTGCTTGTTCGTTTTCCCTTGTAAGACTGATCCATACATTTTAATTTAAGCAAAATTGGATATAAGGTTTATTATCAGGTTTGTCTGAAAGTCTAACACTTCATTAAGGTAAGTGTGGTTGTTATGAAAGGTGCAGGGACTGAAAACCCATTGGACACCTGGTGACGCCGGGGGTCAGTAGAGCAAACAACATCATGACCCAGCACATGCATTCACGTGCTGGCTCTGCATCGTCTGACGTAAGAAGATCGACCCATGGTGTGATGCACAGCTAGCAACACTATCTACTAGCGTGTCAATAATTGCAGTAGCGAAGAGACAAAAAGAGACAGAAAAAAACACTCAAATGTCACCCGCAAAAAAATAAGGATATGAGGACACTTGACATTTATATTTAAGCTGCGGTGAGACGTAGTTATTGAGGAATATGACAGGCCTCAAGACAAGGATTGCGATACCATAACAGGTGATATGGGTTTATACACAATAATTTAATGAAAAATAAGTTCTTTCCTTATCGTTTTTGCTGTTATCATTAATGATAATAACAAAGATTATAATAATATTACTCATTATCCTTATCATTATTATTTTTGTTATTATCATTATTATTATTATCATTATTATTGTTATTACTATTATTGTTATCATTATTATTTTTATCATGATGTTATTGTTGTTGTTACTACTATTATATTTTTTTGTTATCATTATCATTGTCATTATTTCATTATCTTTTTATTATTGTTATTATCATTATTATCATTTATTTTTATTATTATTATCATTATTATAATTTATTTTTATTATTATTATCATTATTATTGTTATTATTATTTTTTGTTATTATTAATGTTATCATTATTATTATTATTATTATTATTATTATTATTATTATTATTATTATTATTATTTTTATCATCATCATCATTATTATGATTATAGTTTATATTATTGTTATCGTTGCTCTTATCATTATCACTATGGTTGTTTTTACTATTATTATCATCATCATCATTATTATTATTGTTATCATTGTTGTTTTTATCATTATCATTTTTTTATTAACATTATCATTATTATTATCATTATCATCATTATTATTTTCATTGTTATTATAAATATTGTTATCATTTTTTAATCATTATTATCATTGTTGTTATTATTACTATTATTATTATTATCAATATTATTATTATTTTTATTATTATTAATATCGTTATTATTATTATTATCATTGTTATTATTAGTAGTAGCATCACTATTGCTATTATCATCATTATTATAATAATTATTATTATCAGTATTATAGTCATTATTATTATCAGTATTATAATCATTATTATTATCATATCCTTATTATCATGACTACTGTTTTTTTCATACTCATTTTTATCATTATCATTACCATTATCATTATTATCATCACCATCCCTTCTTCCCGGGAACCACAACGTCCCCCGCCAACACGCGGAAGGGCGTTTGGTCCCACCACGTAAAGGCGGAAGCATAAGGGGAGGATCTAAGGGTTGACGTCCTCACAGGGACAGGGGGGGGGGGGGCGAGGGCATCCCACAACACACAGCCTTCGCGTTCGGTTCCTAAGCACTGACGTCCCCTCCTTTTCGCCCAGGGCCTTCGTACTCGGGGATGGGAAAGTGACGTTGTACGTGTATATGAGTGGCGATATATTAAGTCCGGCACGTGGGGATTAATTCATTAGGGAGATCAGGTGGTGATTGCGTGTTCCGTCTCGGGGTTTGGGAAAAGGGGGGGGAGGGGAGGGGGGAAGGGGGGAGGGGTTGAGAGGGCGATGAGGTGAGGTGTAATCTGCAGGTTAAGGGGGAAAAAAGCTGAAATCGGAGATTGTAGGTTTTCTGTGGCGTGCTTAAAGTCGTAAACCAGGGAGAAAGATTAACAAAAAATAAAAAGAAAAAGAAAAAGAATATTTCATGATAGCATTTTCTTCATATGTCATAGGTTATACTGGACGTATTGTATTATGCTGTATGTTATATACATCGTTTGTATATACATAACATAATCATTATCACTACTTCATCATAATATTAAAATCGACATTCGAAAACCAGAGAAGACAGGGAGCAGGAACTTAAAAGAAAACAATTCAACTCTGGAGACGCTTAAATACCTGAAGAAAGATGGTAAACAGGAAGAAGACAGAAGATTAAAGAAGAAAATAAGAGGAAGAGATAAAGGGATGAAAAATCATTAAAAAAAACACGAGGAGAGGATAAACGGTAAACAAGAAGAAAACATGGAATCGAAGAAGCAAAAAGGGGAAGAGAGGAAGGAATGAAAGATACGAATAAAAAAAAACCGCGAGGAGAGGGAAATCTTCAAGGTTTCTTTTCAGTTAAAACCAAATTCTTGGCGAAGGATCCTGAACCTCGAGGCAAAGTGGTGGTCGTAAAATATTAATGTGTCACGTGATACCGATGACGTTGACTATTAAGGACGGTAATCAAAAAGGTTTTCGGATTTGGTTCTGAAATGTTGAAATGTGTACATGTTTTAGTTAATGTAAACAAACACAAAAAACTGACCTGAAATATCTCTTCCACAGGGAGCGTTATCGAACAATCAGGAGTTATGATAAGAAAGCACTTTGATAATTCCCAGATAAGGAATTTATTATATTTCCTCTTGGCAGTATTTTCGAACAAAGAATGCCCTTGTGTATTTTATAGCATATAATTATGATCTCTGAATGAAGATTTCCTTGTTGTGTGTTTTATCGAGAAGAAGGGCCGTTTTATTTCCTTCATTGACTGAAAGGTTCTGGAAAATGAAAAGGAACAAATAAGAAAGAATGACGGTGATAATGAAAACACAAAAATAGAAAAAAAACGTGATATTATATTCTAGATTAATGGATTTAAAAGTTTATTTCTAGAAAAAAAAAAGAAATGCTATAACCCTGCTACCAAACAAAATTATAAGATCAAAAGCAGTTTAAAAGATAGAAGACAATTATGCAAGATACGTTTTGTTGTTGTTGTTTTTGCTGTTGTTACCGTTGTTGTTTTTGTGCTTGGCTGTTGGTGATGTTCTTTTGTTCCATTATCTTTTCGTATAATTTCCACATGCAAACAGACTGGTGGATCTATACGCAATATCCGATTTTTTAATATGTTATTCGCTTTACCACTTGTATGAACCTAATAAATTCCCGAAAACTGAAAGATAGCACAGGATGAATAATAATAAAATAGGTACGGACGAAAATATTACATCTGTCCAGCAAAAGAAACTAAAGTTTGCTCTTCTGAATAGTAGGCTATGGAACGAAACTGATCGTAGACTGTTTTCATTGGTTTTCGAAACGATCTTCGATTTTTTTTTTTTGTGAGTGCGGTTGTGAGTTGTTGATTTATGTTGATATGTGTGAAAGAAATACTTATATTTTGTCTATATTATAACTCCTCTCTTAACAGTAGCAATGAGAAGAAACAAACAAGAAAAAAACAATTATTTTTGTTAAGAGATAGCTGAAAAACTTTGACATTTGGAGAATTTTTAGTTTCTAGCCTTGACATTATGCAAAGGAACAGGTGGCTGTACCGCGAAGAACCTCCTCGGCGCATGTTTATGCCTGTGCTGTAAATCTGTAAACAGAAGAGATTCAGTTTGTTTCCGTGTCCGCGGACATTGTATATTTAATCTACAACTATGGATTCGCGGAATCCATTGCATGTGTGTGAGAATATGCACATGTCCAAGGACACAGAAGGGA